CACAGAGGAAAGACGAGGCCATTGGATCCCCTGGAACTGGAGTTACAGACAGTCATTAACTGCCGTGTACCTGGGTACTGGGATTTTGACCAAGGTCTTCTGCAAGAACAGCCAGTGTTCTTTAACTGTTGAGCCATCTCTCCAGTCCCAGGACAGGTGTTTTAAAGGAACAGTAGAGCCTTGGAATTATAAGTTAGCTTCTTTTCTTTTTTAAAAAAAAGTTTTATTTTATGTGTATGAGTGTATTGCCTGCATGTGTGTGAGTGCACCTGTATCATGCAATGCTGCAGAGGTCAGAAGAGAGCTTTGGATTGCCCTGGAACTGGAGTTAAGGATGGTTCGTTCATAGCCACCATGTGGGTGCTGGAATCAAACCTGGGGTCCTCTGCAAGAGCAGTCAGTGCTCTTACTATTGAGTCATCTCTCCAGCCCTCTTTTTTTAAAAAATAAAAATAAAACTATATGTCTGAGTTGTGTGTGTATATCATATGTGTGCAGGTACGTGTAGAGGCCAGAAGAGGGTGTCAGATCCCTTGAAGCTGGAGTTGCAGGTTGTTGAGAGCCACCTGATATGGGCGCTGGAGACTGAACTGAGGTCCTGTGGAAGAGGAGCAAGCTCTCTGAACCGCTCTGAGCCTGCTCTCTAGCACCTACCTCCCCAGCTTCTTTCTTCTAAGCCAAGAGAAATGAGTCTAACACAACAAAATTAAATCTTTGAAAAATTTTAAAATTTAAATATATTTTTAAATTTAATATTTTTTGTGTGTTTATGATATATGTGTGCCTGTGTTGAGAAGGCGGGGCACACACTAGCCATGGCATGCCTGTGCAATTTAAAGAGAACCTTGGTTAAAAAAGGGTCTTTTTGTTGTTCACTCTTAGCCGGCCCATGAGCTTCTCAGGATTCCCTTTGTCTCTGCCTCCCAGATATCTTGCCTAGGATTATAGGTATGTGCTACTGAACCCAGTTTTTCATAAATTCTAGGGATTTGAACTGTGACCCTCACACTTGCACCGCCTGTCCCAGTAAACCAGCTCCCCAACCAAAGTTGGACTTACACGTTTTTTTTTTGTTCGCTTTTGTCTTTGTTTTGTGTGCAAGGGATGGAACTGAGGGAGTTAGGAAGTGCTCTACTACAGTAGCCCAAAGTTACCTCACATTGCCAGACTGGCAATGTTATTCTGGCAAAAAAGAGTAGACATGGCCTTAAGAGAGATGAGTAGCTAACATGAAGGCACACAGAATCAGTCCATGAGGCCAGGAGGAAGCCTGAAAGGCTTGCCTAACCCTTCTGCCAACCCCTTTCCACCCATCTTTTACTCAAAACCCCAAACATCCTGTTTCCTAGCCAGCATCTCTCTCACTTTTGGGGTTCTCATATGGGTTCATTAAGCCCCTCTGAAAGTACCCTCTGATCCCAGCACTCCAAGAAAACTGAGTGTGAAACATTATCTTTTTTTCTGGGAGCCGGGGGTGGGGCGGGGTGGGGGGGGTGGCAAGGTCTTCCTGTAGCCCCAGGGGTCCTGGAACTCTCTTTCTCTACAGAGAGGCTGGCCTTGAACTCAGAGATTTGCCTGCCTCCCAAGTGCTGGGATTAAAGGCATGCACCACCACGCACAGCTAAACATTATCTTTTTAAAAAGATTTTCTTTTGGGGGCACAGGGTCTCCTCATAGCCCCAGCTGTCCTGGAACTCACCATGTAGACCAGGCTGGCCTCGAACTCACAAAGATCTGCCTGCCTCTGCCTCCCAAGTGCTGGGATTAAAGGCATGTGCCACCACACCTGTCTTAAAAAAAGATTTATTTTTATTTTTATGTGTATGTTCTATGTGCAACATATGCATGCAGTATCTGCAGAGGCCAGAAGAAGGTGTTGAATCCCCTGGAGCTGGAGTTACAGGCAGTTACTATCTTACTATGTGAATGCTGGGAACCAAACCCCAGTTCTCTGCAAGTGTTCTTAACTGCTGAGTCATTTGTCTAAGCCCCTCAAATATTAATTATGCAACAGAGAGCAAGGTGCTGACTTTGAGAATCCTTGAAAAAATGTCACTCTTACCACCATCCCATGCTGTTCATCACAGCTTCTGCATGGTTAGCGATGTGGGCAGAGAAAGGGTTGACCTTGTGAGGCATTTTTTTCCAGTTGACTGAGGTCATGGGGAGACAGGATGAGGTGTGGTGAGGGTTTGTCTCAGGGTCCAGAACTCTGAAAATGGTGTTTGGAATGGAGGAGACTGTGGATTCTATGGAACTCTGACTCCACAGGCCAGAGCAGGACAGATCATGGAGCAACAGAGTAATTGACTGGACTGCTTAATGATATAGGGTAGGAAAAGAACTGAGGGCATGCCCAAGTCCACTCACCTAGGGCCTCAGAGTGGGGACAGGAAACTGTGACTTCCTTCCTCCTTTCCCATACTGTTCTTAGCATCAAGGTCACATGGTGCTGCAATGAATTCCAATCCATGTTTTAGTTGGTAGTCTTCCCTGGGCACAATGACAATAGCTGTTCCCTTCCACCACAAACACCCCTTACTTCCGTTTTGAAATAGTAGTCATCATGTAGACAACTGTCTCACATGTATTATCTCATCACACCAATACTGTGGAAAAGATTTTTATCTGATTTAAATTTTAAAAGATTATTTGGGCCTGGAGAGATGGCTCAGCGGTTAAGAACACTGACTGTTCTTGCAGAAGACCCAGGTTCGAATCCCAGCACCCACATGGCAGCTAACAACTGTCTGTAATTCCAGTCCCAGGGGATCCGACAGCCTCTTCTGTCCTCTACGGGCATTGCATGACACGGGTGCACTTACATACATGCAGGAAATACACTCATACACATAACATAAAAATAATAAATAAAATATTTTAA